TATACCCCCCCCCCCTTTTTTTTTTTTTTTAAGATTTTAACCAATTTTTAAAAAAATCTCTGGTTACCGTTTTGTGGGAAAGCAGGCTGTGCTACTTATTACCTTACATTAATATTGTGATATCTCCTGACTACTTATAGGCAGAGCGGCGATACACAGGAAAAAAGCTGCTGACCATCTATAAGAAATGGTAGTGAGATGAGGCAGTACTAACACAAAGATATTAGAATGGCTTGAGGAAACATTTTTACTCTAAGCAGACATTGTGCATTTTTGCATTACTATCAGTAATACTATATGCATACAAAATTATTTGAAAAAGTACAAAATGAACAGGGCTTTACATTAAAATAAATGTGAGGCTAGGCACTTTAAAAACTCTATTTTTTTTCCTTTTAATGTGCCTTATTGTGCTCGATAATTTTTCCACAATTTTAAAAGCAACATTTTTCAATCTGGTATCTTTATCACATATATAGGCACCAATTATAAAGTACACTTTCATATTGTCAAATACATTGAAATTAAGTGGCTAGAAAGGCCCCTTAAGAGTCCAATAGACAAAGTTTTTTTTTCTTTTACAAAGACTGATGCATATGCTAACCTACTTCATAAATATTTATTAGCAAGATGATCCAGTTAAATTTCCTGTGCCTATAATGTAGAGCCCTGCGAAATGTGTGCTTGCATAAGGAATGCATCTTTTTGTTTAAAAGAAAAAGTCAGAGCTCTGAAACACCATCCTATTAATACTGAGAGCTGAGAAGAACTGTTGTGACTCAACAATACTAAAACAGTCACATTAATTCTATACAGATATGTTGTATGGATATAGTAACATGTAAAAACAGCTTCTTTTTAAAGCATTATGCTGCAAGAAGCAACAGGTAACCATAGGAGATCCTTTCAGTACATGATACTTTTCCACAGCATAACTTCTTAAAGTGAAACTCTCTATCAGCGAGGAATACTAATTTTGAATTTTTCAGTTTTATTCCAGATGGGGTAATATTGCATATTTTAAATAGAATACAAATGTGCAAGTTTCTTTAGGCTAACTCATGGAAGCGGAAGAAAAAAACCGAAGTTTAACAATGTGTCCCTTCCAGGTTTCTCCAGATTTTTTATAGCTTATAAGAGCTTTAGGACTTTGGTCAGTGGTGATATGGCAGTACATTTCTGACAACTGCTACAGCAGGCAAATCTAATTTTGGTTCTGGTTGTGAAATGTTCTGCGTTTTCATGTTACACATCTAATTTTAAGTTTTGCATTTCACCACTTCTTAAACCATGTTGAGAAGGAGGTTTTAGGTTGCTTTTGCCTGTGAAAGCATTTAGTTGAAGTATGCTGTAACCCTGGGGAAAGCATCATGTTTGTGCTATATGAACTACAGTTAGTAACACCAGATATAATATATCAGGTATACACTTTTAACACTTACCCATAAACAGCAAGACCATACATGTTAATTGTGGAAACAGCAAACTCCTTTCCACTATTAACTTGTTAATAGCATCCCCATACGTACAGATTAGTTACAGTTAAGACCACCATAATACAATTTGTATTATATGGTTTAATAACATACTAGTACAAGTCAACTCACTGCGACATTAGATAGAGGGGATTTACGCTGATAATTACAGCATAAAAATTAGATGCATAATATGATTTTCTACATGCCTTCTAGTCACAATATATCTTATACTTCTCACTGCAAAACACTTGGTTGTTAAGGACAGACCCCTCAGACCTGTCTCCACAGGACCGGATATGACTTACACTAGGGTTACTGGTCTTGGCTTTGGAAGTAGATTTTGTGCGCACCCTTTTGGACTGCTCATGGTCAAGCTCTAGATGCTCCAGGCGCTGGGTCAATGCCAATTTTTGCTGGATAGCCATACGAAGCAAAGAGTTCAGAGTCTTCTTCTCATCTTCAGCTGCTGCAAGCTGGCGTTGCATTTCATCCAGCTGTGTGACATACTCGTCACATCTGCAATGAAATATCAAGAATTTTTAGCAACCTTGTTTCCAAGTGTAACACATGAATCCTTTGTGCCCAGTGGACATAAGCAGAGGTGGATCCAAAGGGGTTTTGTAATCGGTTGTGCCCATTTTTACACTGGAACTTCAGCAAAACTACTGTGGAGTTTAATTAATTTTCTCTGTGTAATTCCAGCTAGTGCTCAGGTTTGCCCACTTCCTTTGCTTAATTACTCAATACAGGCATCCCCAAGCATGGTATGCAGAGAGCCATGAGGGTGCTTGTGTTTGAAAATTGAGACCCCACTTGAAGACAAAAGGTGCTCCTGGTATACTGTAAAACATGCAGGACTTGAACATGGCTAGTTACATTTCTTGATCCAGTCTTCATGTAAGTAAGGAATTTGATAAAAGAAATCCAGGCTTTAATGTGAACTGAAGGTTGTAAATATTTGTATCATTTGAGATGGACATTAATAACATTTGATGCACATCCAAACTTCATGTTGGGCTTAGTTATTCTCCCTGTTCAAAGAAGTGGGCCTGTGAGCTGTCCAATGCCATCTGAATAGCATTATTGAAAGACAAGTAAAATTCCCAAACTCCAGTTTTGCCTATGCTCCTTGCTGAGAAAGATGTTCTAATTAGTGTTTTACCGTTTTGTTTATAATAAGTTGTCTTTTTATTTTATGTAAAAATAATTGTTTTCAGACATAATTGTTTTGAAATTTACTCATAACAAAGGAAAGGCATACTACTTGGAATCCTGCAGAGGAAGCTCCATGAATATCTGAGAGATGTTTAATCAGCAATCATTTTCACAAAGCCTGGAAGCTATCTAAATTACACACAGCACTATAAGCCATTTTAAATTGGGGCCTTAATGCGTAGGTGGATGTTTACAGCATGTACAGAGTATAAAGAGTGTGCATGCGAGTAAAAATATAGACACCAATCAGAATTTATCCTGGTCACATCTGTAAAATACAGCATCTTCATGATATCAATGCCAAACATGTGCAAAGGAGAGTCTTCTAATGAGTATTATGACCCCTAAACCCCTAAAAAAAAACAAAAAACCCCTAAACCTTTAGGAAGCTTATCATTCTACAAATACAAAGAGAGAGAGAAAAAAATCTGCATCCAAATGCAGATTCACACACTTTACCTTATATCACAAGTAAAGGGTCAATTTCTATTCATAGTCACTTCAAAAGCAGACCTGCAAGCTAATTAAAGTTGCAGAAGAGTTTTTGTTTTGAAATACTAAGTCAGAAAAATCATTCAGTGACCCAGAAATACTCATATAAATGTACTAAGACTGGTTTGCATACCTCGAATCACTGTCATAGATGACCATCTGTCCATTCACACAACTACATTTTTACACATTATATTGATGAATTTACTTCCCAGTATCTACCATTCTTATCACCACGTTGGAATCCTACAATGTATACTTATAAATTAAAAGCTGTACTTCCTGGAATGTAAATTCACCAGATCTTTCCCTTTCCTTTTGCGTGGCATTGTTAAGTACAAATAGACTTATAAGGCAAAACCAAAACACACTTACAAAAGTTGAAGGAAGCAACCTTTGTACTTCACAATCTAAGGGCCACCATCATCTCTCTTCCCTCCTCAGTATAAATGACAAACTGGAGGAAGCCACAGAAAACAGGCCCTACTATGTTGCATAGGGACCCATCATCCCTTTCTCTATCCTGTCCAGCTTCCCCACCTCTGAGAAGGCGGTGACTGAGGACAGCTGTTCTGTGCAGAATACTGTCCGATTCCTCCACCAGCCTTCAGATGAATATCCACAGGAACAAGTTATTCACCTTTATCAGCATTAACTTCCAAGCAAGATGAGGACAGTCTTGCAAGGCCTTAAATGCCTGTACACCAATGCT